CAGACCTCAGGTGATCCACCCAGCTCGGTCTCCCAAAGTGTTAGGATTACAGGCGTGCGCCATCGTGCCTGGATGATTTGGACTTTCTGATTGCAAAATAACACATATATCCACACTTTTTTTTTTTAAATGGAATCTCACTCCGTTGCACAGGCTGGAGTGCAGTGGCACAATCTAGGCTCACTCTGCCTCCCAGGTTCAAGTGATCCTCCTGCCTCAGCCTCCTGAGTAGCTGGGACTACAAGCACGTGCCACCATGTCCAGCTAATGTTTGTATTTTTAGTAGAGATGGGGTTTCACCATGTTGGCCAGGCTGGTCTTGAACTCTTGACCTTGTGATTAGCCACCATGTCTGGCCCACTCATTCTTATTGTAGAAAATTCAAGCATACCACAAGCCTACAGGAAAATTGGGCCTGTCCCCTTGCCACCTTTGCCTTTACTGTGTCCCCCTCCACCTAAGTGAGCAAATCACATGCCTCACTTAGTGTGCGCCTTGTAAGCTACTTTCTGTGCCCTTACACAAAGATACATTTTTTCAATATCTGTTTGCTGTTTTTTTCAACTTGCTTTTTCCACTTATATGTATCATATACAGCCTTGCAGACCTATCAGGATATAGATATTTATACACACACATGTTTTTCACTCCTTTTAACAATTATTAATGATTTAGCAATTATTGCTTTAACCACCTCTCAATCCATAGACATTTGTTTCCAATTTTTGCTACTGTAAACAATCCTGCCAGGCGTAGTGGCTCACGCCTGTAATCCCATCACTTTGGGAGGCCGAGGTGGGTGGATCACAAGGTCAAGAGATCGAGACCATCCTGGTTAACATGGTGAAACCCCGTCTCTACTAAAAATACAAAAAATTAGCTGGGCATGGTGGCGCGCGCCTGTAGTCCCAGCTACTCGGGAGGCTGAGGCAGGGGCAGGAGAATTGCCTGAACCCAGGAGGCGGAGATTGCAGTGAGCTGAGATCGCACCATTGCACTCCAGCCTGGGTAACAAGAGTGAAACTCCGTCTCAAAAAAAAAAAAAAAATCCAGCAAGAAATATTATCTGCATATATATTTGCACCATTATGCTTTAAATTTTATTTATTTATACTGTGCTTACTACTAAAAAGGACTTAAATAGCTAAAAATTATTTTTTCAGTTGAATCCAAATCTAAAAGGTGCCAGTTGTGACTTCAGATAACAAAAAGGAAGGGGAGAAGAATCAAGCTAATGTCAGAAAAGTTATAAGCGAATTAAGCTAAAATGCTAATTTTGAGAGGGTAAAACAGATGGGCCTTGTAATATGTGATCCAAAGGTTTCTGGAGACACTTATGTTTGAATTAGAAGATACTGCATGAGCTTTCTTGGCAGCAGAAATTGAAAGCAAAGTGATGTTAAATTGATTTTTCCCCCAAACAATTACTCCCACCAAATCATCCTCCATCATTCTATTTTTAAATACCAACAAGCATCTTGTACACATTTAAAATCAATGAATGCTATTTAATAAAATTTGTATTTATGTACTTTTTTTTTTTGCGATTTCATACATTTTCTATCTTCTCATTTCTAATGGCAACACTCTCGTCGATGTTAGAAATTTTAGGAGAACTTTGCCCTTGTCTTCCACACTGGCTAATTTAGAATCAGGAATAGCCCCCACCATGAGGCTCTTCCTGCAGGCCTATGGATTGCAGTCAATCAAATGTGTCCCTTGTACCCACCCGTAACTGAATGAAGAAATACTTGGGCCGGGTGTGGTGGCTCAAATACCAAGGGGCAAATAGGCTCTTTCTTTATGAGTCAGTGCTTTTTGGGAAGCTGAGGTGGGCGGATCATTTGAGGTCAGGAATTTGAGACCAGCGTGACCAACATGGTGAAACCCCACCTCTACCAAAAAATACAAACATTAGCCAAATGTGGTGGCGCAAGCCTGTAATCCCAGCTACTCGGGAGGCTGAAGCACAAGAAGCACTTGAACCTGGGAGGCCGAGGTTGCAGTGAGCCGAGACAGCACGACTGCACTCCAGCCTGGGCGACAGGGCGAGATCGTCTCAAAAGCAAAAAAGATATTTGACAGTGATGTTGCCCTAATGGAAAATGGAAACTTTCTAAGACCTAGCAAGGCCAAGTTTGATTAAAGAAAATACATACGATAAATACTGGTAACAGTGGTGATACTGGTAAGAATATTGGAGGAGCATCCAGCTAGCAGTCAAATGTGAGTTATTTATGTATTTGTTTTTGTTTTCTTGAGACAAGTCTCACTCTGCTGCATAGGCTGGAGTGCAGTGGTGCGATCTTGCAACCTCTGCCTCCCGGGTTCAAGCAATTCTCATGCCTCAGCCTCCCAAGTAGCTGGGATTACAGGCATGCACCACCACACCCAGCTAGCTTTTGTATTTTTAGTAAAGACGAGGTTTCACCATGTTGGACAGGCTGGTCTTGAACTCCTGGACTCACGTGATCTGCCCACCTCATCTTCCCAAAGTGTTGGCATGTGTGAGCGACTGCATGCCATCAAATGTGATTTAAATACCAAGGGGCAAACAGGCTCTTTCTTTATGGGTCAATGCTTTTTCTACAACTAAATGAAACTGTTGAAGTTCTTGGTTCTTTTTGCCATCCTCCCCCTGTTATATCACTCCTGAGTATTGGGGAGAGGCCTAGAGGATCTATCCCTCCTCTGGGAATTTCTCAGCATCTTTCAGACCACATAGTGCAGGCCAGGTGTGATGGCTGATGCCTGTAATTCCAGCACTTTGGGAGGCCAAGGCGGGAAGATCACTTGAACTCAGGAGTTTGAGACCAGCCTGAACAACATAGTGAGATCTAGTCTCTACTAAACAATAAAAAACAAAAAATTATCTGGTCATGGTGGTACACACCTGTGGTCCCAGCTACTCGGGAGGCTGAGATGGGAGGATCACTTGAGCCCAGGAGATCCAGGCTGCAGTGAGCCATGATCGTGACGCTGCACTCCAGTCTGGATGAAAGAGCAAGACCTCGTCTCAAAAACAATGGCCAGGAGTGGTGGCTCGTGCCTGTAATCTGAGCACTTTGGGAGACCAAGGGGGTGGATCACTTGAAGTCAGGAGTTTGAGACCAGCCTGGCCAACATGGCGAAACCCCATCTCTACTAAAAAGACAAAAAATGAGCCGAGCGTAGTAGTGGAAGCCTGTAATCCCAGCTACTTGGGAGGCTAAGACAGGAGAATTGCTTGAACCCGGGAGACGGAGGTGGAGCCGAGATCAGACCACTGCACTCCAACCTAGGTGACAGAATGAGACTCTGCCTCAAAAAAAATAAAAAAGAAGAGAAAAAAAAAAAGTATTCTGCCCGGCTCAGTGGCTCATGCCTATGATCTCAGCACTTTGGGAGGCGGAAGTGGGCAGATCATTAGGTCAGGAGTTCAAGACCAGCCTGACCAACATGCTGAAACCTCATCTCTACTAAAAATACAAAAATTAGCTGCGTGTGATGGTACATGCCTATAATCCCAACTACTCAGGAGGCTGAGGCAGGAGAATCTCTTGAACCTGGGAGGTGGAAGTTGCAGTGAGCCAAGATCAGGCCACTGCACTCCAGCCTGGGAAACAGTGAGATACCATCTCAAAATATATATATATATATATATATATATATATATATATATATATATATATATAATCCAGAGAGCTGTTTATGAAACAATTACCAGCACATCACTAGTTTGTCTATTTGTTGAAGCTACTTTCTGGTTACTTCTGGCTGATCACTTTGGTGACAATGGAAATGCTGGATGGATAGGGGAGTCCCATTCTTTTGAGACTGGGTTTTAAAAGATCCTGCCCACTTTCAGCGAAATAAACTAGACAAGAGCCAGGAAGTATGGACACTGAAAAAACTACAGTCAAGTTCTGAAAGATTACCCCAAGTCCTGGCTGACACCAGCACCTGCTCACAGCATCCTTCCTTAACAGCTGAGCAGGGTCTGCATCTGCTGCCAGGCCATAAAACCCCCAGGAGGGACTAAGTGTGCCCCCTGAGCTAACTGTGGAAGGCAGCTGGGGAGAGGGCCAGCTCCAACCAGCTCTACCAGTTTTCCACAAGGCCATAGGCATGTCTCCTGGGAAATTTTTCATTCATACCTATCATCGTTTCAGTGTTCCTGCTTCTGGTATGGGAGAGGATCAACAAACCATTAAGGGGGCACTGCAGGGAAGACAGAGCTTTAATGCCAGCTGCACGAGCATGAGCCTGAACTATTTGGCTGTCCTGAATGTCTGTTGCTCTGTGAATATTCTCTGAAGAGCAGCAATGAGCAATGTGAAGCAGGCAGATGTGGGTGAGACTACCTGGGCTGGACCCATGCCACCCACCGAGCTCAGCAATCTTGGGCAGCCACCTATCTATCCCTTCTTTGTTTTGTTTTGTTTTGTTTTGAGACAGAGTTTCGCTCTTGTTGCCCAAGCTGGAGACAACAGAGCGAAAGATCTCCAAGCTGGAGATCTTGCAATGGCGAGATCTCCACTCACTGCAACCTCCGCCTCCTGGGTGCCTCAGCCTCCCGAGTAGCTGGGATTACAGATACATGCCACCACGCCTGGCTAATTTTTTTTGTATTTTTAGTAGAAATGGGGTTTCACCATGTTAGCCAGACTGGTCTCAAACTCCTGACCTCAGGTGATCCTCTGCCTCGGCCACCCAAAGTGCTGGGATTACAGGTATGAGCCACCTTGCCTGGCCTTATCTATCCCTTCTATGCCTCAACTTCCTTGTCTCCTAACTGGGGACATAGTAATACCCACCCTTATAGGGTTGTTGGGAGATCAAGTTAAGTCCCACAAAAGTCTCAGAACAGGGCTGGTTTCAGGGGCATGTGGCCAGTGCCGTGACACAGGGTCCCCATGCTCAAAAGGGTCCCACGCTTTGGACTGAATGCTCTGCAGTCATCATCTTGGAATTCTTTATTTTTTATTTTTTTGAGATGGAGTTTTGTTCTTTTTGCCCAGGCTGGAGTGCAACAGTGTGATCTTGGCTCACTGCAACTTCTGCCTCCCAGGTTCAAGCAATTCTCCTGCCTCAGCCTCCTGAGTAGCTGGGATTACAGGTACCCATGACCAGCCAGTTTTTATATTTTTTAATATTTTTAGTATAGACGGGTTTCACCATGTTGACCAGGCTGATCTTGAACTCCTGACCTCAGGAGATCTGCCTCAGCCTCCCAAAGTATTGGGATCACAGGTGTGAGCCACCGCACCCAGCCTGAAATTCTTTTTTTTTTTTTTTTTGTTCCTCAGCTGAAAGGCCTGAAATTCTTAATGATTTTGTCTTTGAATTTCTCTTCCCACAGGGCAATGGAGCGTGCATGCATCATGGACTCGGAGTGTGGTCCCACCTCCCTGCCTCCTCCGGCAGATACCTGATGCCCATTTCCCCGTCCCCTGCACCCTGGGCCCCATGGCCCCCTCCCCACTCCCACTGGGTCACCCTTCACTCTGGGCAGGGACTGAGTGTGGGTGCAGGAGGATCAGGGTAAGGCACATGCCCCCTGGTTTCTCAGGCACACAGCGTGTTCCAGAACACCTCTAGAGTGTGCAATGCCTCGAGGGATGACCTCTCTGCCGCAGATGGTAAGTTGCTGGCCCCTGGCCAGAGTGTAGTGCATTGATTACTGGCTAGCCAAAGTGAGGCTCAGTGGCAGATGGGTGGGCCTCTGAACACTGAATGCTAGGACAGGGACCCCAGGCACTTGGGAGGGTCTCCACTCCTTCAGGAGCATCCTTGAGGCTACAGGAAGTATGAAATTCAACAGAAAATTTAAAAACAGGACAGTTCCAGAGATAGACCATGGAAAAAATACTTTGTATTTGGTACTTTTTTTTAAGACAGGCTCTTGCTCAATTGCCCAGGCTGGAGTACTATGGTGCAGTAATAGCTCACTGCAGCCTTGATCGCCCAGGCTCAAGCCTCCCATCTTGGCCTCTTGAGTGTCTGGGACTAGGTGCACCACGCCTAGCTAAATTTTTTTGTTTTTGGAAGTAGAGATGAGGTCTCACCACGTTGCCCAGGCTGGTCTCGAACTCCTGAGCTCACAGGATCCTCCCGCCTCAGCCTCCCAGAGTGCTGAGAGTACAGGCGTGAGCCACTGCTCCTGGCCTGCACTTGGTACCTTTAACAGCACTTTTCTCTGCTTTTCAAACAAGGAGCCCCATATTTTCATTTTGCACTGGGCCCTGCAAATGATGCAGCTAGTCCTGCAGAGAACATTACCTGGCACACAATAGGCGCTCAATCAAAGTTAGCTATTATAATTATTAGGACAACATATATGTTCCCTGTGGAGTCATGTACCTAACAGGACATTCCACATCTTCACATGCCAGGATAAGGGTCATATCTATTCAGCATCACATGGGTCTTGATACAGCATCTTGTGCTAATATACGCATCTGGCTGGGCATGGTGGTTCACACCTGTAATTGCAGCACTTACGGAGGCCGAGATGAGCAGATCCCTTGCGTCCAGGAGTTTGAGACCAGCCTGGGCAACATAGTGAAATCCCATCTCTACTAAAATACGAAACTTAGTCGGGTCCGCCGTCCCTGCCACTTGGGAGGCTGAGGCTCGAGAATAGCTTGAACCTGGGGGGGCAAAGGTTGCAGTGAGCCAAGATCACACCACTCCACTCCAGCCTGGGTGACACAGCGAGACTCCATCTCAATGATAATAAACATTCACAGCAACAGAAGATGACATCGATTGCTGGGGTGACCTTTAGCATTGAATTTTTTTTTTTTTTTTTTTTTTGAGATGGAGTCTTGCTCTGTTACCCAGGCTGAAGTGTAGTGGCACAATCTCGGCTCACTGCACCACTGCCTCCTGGGTTCAAGCAATTCTACTTCAGCCTCCTGAGTAGCTGGGATTACAGCTGTGCACCACCACATGTGGCTAATTTTTGTATTTTTAGTAGAGACAGAGTTTCACCCGTATTGGTCAGGCTGATCTCCGACTCCTGACCTCAGGTGATCCACCCGCCTTGGCCTCCCAAAGTGCTGGGATTATAGATATGAAACACTGAGCCTGGACTAGCATTCAGCTCTGAAAGGTTAAATCACCACTTTCTTTCTTTTCTTTCTTTTTTTTTTCTGAGATGGAGTCTCACTCTGTTGCCCAGGCTGGAGTGCAATGGTGCAATCTTGGCTCACTGCAACCCCCCCGCCTCCTGGGTTCAAGCAACTCTCCTGCCTCAGCCTCCAAGTAGCTGGGACTACAGGAGCCCACCACCATGCCCAGCTAAGTTTTGTATTTTTAGTAGAGACGGGGTTTCACGAGATTGGCCAGGCTGGTCTTCAACTCCTGACTGTGATCCGCCAGCCTCAGCCTCCAAAAGTGCTGGGATCACAAGGATGAGCCACCGCGTCCGGCCACCACTTTCTTTCAAAGAGCCAAGCACTAAATTTTTATTGAATATCTGCCTGGGGGAGCAGACAACCTACCTGGATCTAGAGAAGCCTACCATACCAATTCTTTAAAAGGCAATTCCGCTCCAGGTGATGTACTGTGAACCATATGTGGCATGGGAACCCAGAGAAGGGTCAGTGTAGTCCTAGAGCAGTGACAAGCCAGTCTGAGTCACATCAAAATCACCTCGAGACTCAATGACACGCAGTGCTGGGCCCACGGGGTTGCCAGCTCCATAGGTCTGGGTCAGGGGTCGCAGGAGTGCGTTTCCGGTCCCGGGTGATGCTGCTGCTACCGTTCTGTGCTTTCAGAACTAGTGGTGTAGACTAGAGCAATCCAGGAAAGCTTCATGGAGGAGAAGATTGAGACGGTAAGTAGTTAGTTGATTGGTGGGAAAGAGCAACTGCAAACAGAGGGCATGAAATGAACAAAGGTACAAACCAAATGAGAGCGTGTTGTGTGTGTGCAGGGAAAGGTTTTAGGCAGACAAGGGTGACTTGCCTCCTGGAAAGGTATTCTCTCCTGGTGAGCTATGATCCTGTACGTCTCTCCAAAAATAAAATTAAAACAAATTTTCAAAAACTGGCAAAGAGCTGGGCATAGTGGAGCGTGCCTGTAGCCCCAGCTACTGGGGAGGCTGAGGTGGGAGGATCGCTTGAGCCCAGGAGTTCTGGGCTGTAGCGCGCTATGCCGATCGGGTGTCCACACTAAGTTCAACATCAATATGGTGACCTCCCGGGAGCAGGGGACCACCAATTTGCCTCAGGAGGGGTGGACCGGCCCAGGTCGGAAACAGCAGGTCAAAACTCCCATGCTGATCAGTAGTGGGATCTCGCTTGTGAATAGCCACTGCACTCAGCCTGGGCAATATAGCGAGACCCCATCTCTTTTATTTTTTCTTTTTTAAAGATGGGTTTTCACCATTATGGCCAGGCTGGTCTTGAACTCCTGACCTCAGGTGATCCACCCACCTCGGCCTCCCAAAGTACTAAGATTACAGGCATGAGCCACCGAGTCCAGCCAACCCCATCTCTTAAAAAAAAAAAAAAAAATACTGGCAAAGATAAATCATGCTATTAGAGTAAGATTTTTTTTTTCACTTCCGTTGTAAAACCAGAGTTGTAAGCACTGGAAGTAAATGTTATTTTTCTCTAACCCTGTCACCAAAACTCTGTGTGTTTGTATGTGTTTGTGTGTGTATGTGTGTGTGTACTATCAACCCAAAATATCTGAGACAAGTCTCAATCCATTCAGAAAGCTGATTTGCCAAGGTTAATGACCACTCGTGACACAGCCTCAGGAGGGGCTGGCGATGTGTGCCCAGGGTGGTTGGGATACAGCTTGCCTTCATACGTTTTAGGGAGACATGAGACGTCAATCAATATGTGTAAGATGTACATAGGTTTTGGTCCAAAAAGGCAGGAAAACTCAAAATGGGGGCTCAAAAATTCCAGGTCCTGGGTAGATGAGAGACAAAAGATTGCCTTCTACGCCAGGCACAGTGGCTCATGCCTGTAATCCCAGCACTTTGGGAAGCTGAGGCAGGGGGAATCACTTGAGGCCAGGAGTTTGAGACTAACCTGGCTAACACAGGGAAACCATATCTCTACCAAAAAATACAAAAATTAGCTCGGCATGGTGGTGCACGCCTTTAGTCCCAGCTACTCAGGAGGCTGAGGCAGGAGAATTGCTTGAACCTGGGAGGCAGAGGCTGGATTAAGTCCAGATCTCCTCGCTGCACTCCAGCCTGGGCAACCGAGCCAGACTGTCTCAAAAAAATGAAAAAAGGTTGCACTCTTTGGAGTACTTGATCAGCCTTCCACTGAATACATAGCTGAGTCTGACTCAGTGAATCTGCATTTTTACGTAACCAACAGGGCAGAGGAAGCAATCAGATATGCTAGCGCCTCAGGTGAGCAGAGGGGTCACTTTGGGTCTGGTATCTGTGAGGAGAAGCTACCAGTGTGGCTTCTTTTTACTTTGCCGGAGTGAAATTCAACAGGACCCTCTCAGGACAGAGACCTTGAGGCCCACTAGGAATTGCCTTGGGGGCAAATTGTGAGGAAGGTAGGTAGCTTTTTCCTAACGTACTTTTTTTCTCTTTTTTAAATAGCACAATCACGACTACATAAGACATGTGGCTTTTTTATCCTTGTAACTATCTTATTTAGGAATAAAATGAGAAACAGTTTGCCTGACACTTCCCATTTTGACTTTTCCTTTGGTTTTAGTAATTTTGGGGTCCCGAGATTTATTTTCCCTTCACACTATATAGAAAATGCCACGTTGCAAAGGACGGGAACACTCCTGAAATGAAAGTGTCGGTCCCCTGGAGAGCTTGCTTTGACATTTTCTGTTTGTTTGTTTTTCCAAAATTCAGTTTATGATACTATTCCAGTGTAAATATCCCCTTTAACGCTCCTAGGTCTTTAAATATTTATTTATCTGAGTGCTTCAGTCAAAGCACTCAGCGGCTGTTATTTTGACTTTGTATCCTCTGCAAAATTTTAATAGTATACAGCTGTCATTTTTCTAAACATTAATGGCAAGAAGAATTTACTGAAAATAACAAAGTTTTAGAGAAAACAGACCTGGTTCATATCCAAAGTTTGCCATGTCTTAGGAACTTGCCCAATGCCTTTAGAAAGTAGATAATGACAACCTGCTCGTATTAATGAAGATAAGGTTCAGCGGCAAGTAATGAAAGGCCAACCAGGCCGGGTGCGGCGGCTCAAGCCTGTAATCCCAGCACTTTGGGAGGCCGAGGTGGGTGGATCACGAGGTCAAGAGATCGAGACCATCCTGGTCAACATGGTGAAACCCCGTCTCTACGAAAAATACAAAAACTAGCTGGGCATGGTGGCGCGTGCCTGTAATCCCAGCTACTCAGGAGGCTGAGGCAGGAGAATTGCCTGAACCCAGGAGGTGGAGGTTGCGGTGAGCTGAGATCCCGCCATTGCACTCCAGCCTGGGTGACAAGAGCGAAACTCTGCCTCAAAAAAAGAAAAGAAAAGGCCAACCAACAGTGGCTTGAGCAGATAGAAGCCCAAAAAATACAAAAATTATATGGGTGTGGTGGTGGGCACCGGTAACCCCAGCTACACAGGAGGCTGAGGCAGGAGAATCGATTGAGTCTGGGAGGCAGAGGTTGCAGTGATAAAATCCCAGG